CACCCCCACCCCACCCCACCCCGCATCCCTTCCAGCTCCGGCGCCGCCCCGCCCTTCATCTCCAAGCTCCTCCGCACTGAGGCCCTCCAGAGCGCGCGAAGCGCCGGAGCTGCTGGTAGAACGTTATGAACACTACTGGTTCCCGGAAAAGCCGTGCAAGGGATCGGGCTACCGTTGCGTTGGCATCGGCCGTGACATGGATCCTCTGCACCGAGGGTCGGGAGCTGCGGGGGCTTCTCCCCAGCGCACTCGCTCTCCGGGCTGACCCCTATGAAGAGCCCTGCAGCCTCGGAGCGGGTGGCTGCCTCTGGGTGCTGTGTGAAGCCTGGCCAGCAGGGGGCAGCACGCAAAGCGGCGCCGTCCTGGCGGACCGCAGGACCAGCTGCAAGAGGAACTTCTCTTGGGCAGAGCGAGCCCTGGAAAAACTAGAGTATGGTGGCTGTAGCGTGTTACGATGTGGTCTGTGGCCGTGTATCTGTCCTACGTCTCCTGTGTACACATCGTTTCCCACAACTTTTATGAGGTTAGTGGCGCATGACACTAGGTTGCCTAAAAGTTGGTACTAATATTGTTCAGACAAGATATCATGTCTGCATCTTGCCCTCTGAAAAGCTGCTACGGAGACAACAACATGCAGTGTAGTAATTATTGGAACTGTCTGACTAACTTGATTGGAAACTGTTTCCTTGCTATTTTATCTTTCTTTTCTCATTAAAATGAATTTTAAAAAAGATCTGGTCTGTGCCTCGCGGACACCTTTGACTTTTGCTTTGGGTGGGCTCCTCGTGGGGCTGGATGACGGAATTCAAGCCACGTCACGGCTGTGAGGATCTGACGCAGGAGAGAGTGGTACAATTTCTTTTTCTAAGTGACAGTGCCACAGTTTGGACAGTGTCTTCAATGATTTAACAGCCTGACGGTCCAAGCGTGCGGCCACTTTGCTGGGGAGCCAGGGCCCAGGCCGGTTCCGGTGTCTCCCACACGCCCGCGCGGGCGTCTCTACAGCAGCCCCTCAAGGAGAGCGCCTGTGTCAGAACACCTTTCTCTGCCGTCGCCTTGCGGGGGAATTCGCACTGTCTGCTGTGCAGCTTTGGTTACCCGTGTGGATGCGCATAAAAAGGCCGGACACACCCGGGCAGGGGTAACCACGGAGCAGCCTGCGCTGCTCAGCTCAGCGCGGAGACTGAGGGGTCCTCCGGCTCAGAGCGCACAGCTGCGTGACCAGGTGCCTCCTGGAGGGCTCACAAATGCAGGCGCCATCCTGGACGCGGCTAACGTCCACAGGTGCGAAACACCGTGGAGAGACAGTGTGCCCGAGCAGTACCGAAATTACCTCTCAGGGACAAACCTGTCCACCCACCAGCACCATAGTTGCGGCAAGTGCACAGCGTTGGGTGTTTCGTGCCATCAAAACTGCTCTGCTGTACCTACAGCCTTTGGTCTGGCATCAAGTATGAAAGGTCCTTGCAAGACCTCTCCAAATACCAGCTCTCTAACTGCAATGGAACGCCCATTTCTGACAAAACAAAACATAAAAGGGGCATATAAAGGGTCCTTTATATAGTGAAAAATATATATGTATATCCAAGATAGTTAGGATAGACACACAGCTCCTTTCTCTTAGTTCAATGAGAAGAAAGGCTTATACTAATACTGTTTAGACAAGATAGCATGTCTACATCTTGTCCTCTACTATGAAGACAACAATATGCAATGTATTAATTATTGTAAATGTCCCACTAACCAGTTTTGAAAGTGTTTCATTGCTTTGTTATCATTTTTCTCATTAAAATAAATAAAAATTTAAAAATAGCACTAACAATAAAGCAAGGGTTGGAAGACCCCAACCTTCTCCACGTTTACCCATGGTGCAGATTATAATGTCGGCCTACAAGGACCTAAGCCGCGTGGCCACCAATGTAAGCTCTCAAGTGCAGTGTTATCCCCCAGGGAGCCTCGGAGCTTGGCCATCCCATCTTCATGGTCTGTGCCAGTGTTTAAGTAGACACAGTTACTGAACCACTGAAGATCTCCTAAGGAGACTTGGATTCCCAGCACCGGACACAGGATCAAATGGAGTGGACTGTCCGTGCTCCTCACACAGGACAGTTTCTCCATTAGGGTCAAGATCTCCATTAATAAGGAAAAAAAACTATGGCAGGCCATGACCCACTTTCAGCCTGGGAACGTGGATGTGGGAGAGAGGAGGAGGGAAGATGTCTTTGGTTCTGTCTCTCAGAGTATCCTCTATGGCTCCTGCCTCACTGAATCTATTCCTCTGCCAGTCCTGGGCAGTAGACTTGGCCTTGAATTTCACAAATGATGAACTCACTGTGCAGTACTGCACATAAACAACTTGTAGCTAGAGCACTGAATACCACAAGCAATTCTTCATCTAGATGTCGACGTTTCTGGTAGTTTGAGCACCCCAATCTTGTTGACCTGGATCCAGTGAATTTCTATAACAAGACTCTAATAACAACAACAAAAGGGCTACAGAAATGTCAATTCACTCATGTCAAAGATGGGGTAATAGGACCACCTTGAGGAGGGACACAGGACCATTATGGGGATTATTCTGACTGTGATGGCCATGGCTTTATCCAGTGCGACACTCTCCCTTGCATGACTCGGTGGCTCTATTCAAGGTCTCTTCCCACTGGGACGCTCCATGGTACTCAAAGACTCTTACCCTCCCAGCACTTGGTGTACCCCTGGAAACATCATTTGTTTTTAAGCTGTGTTCTATGAATATGGTAGCACATACAAAAGGAATATTGATTAGAGATTTCATATTTCAAACAGTGCTTTCCCAATTGAGCATATTGGGAGGCTACCAAGTACATTGGAGGCTCCAATGCCAGGCAGCCCATTACTGGAAGAGGTTCTAGGGGGTGTTACTAACCCTCTGCTCAGATGTACACTCCAGGAAGTAATTTCTATTCTTGGGAATCCGTTCAGAAACTATGTGCAACAGAACTGCATAGACCTCAATTCCCACTGACCAATCATAAGAGATCTTTGCAATTGGTAGTGCTTTGTCAGGTCCCTGAATCCATGAGGCTATAAAGGTAAGTGAGCTCATTATTAGTCACACAGAGAAGACCTCTTTGGGCCCTAGAGTACGTCCTAGTGGGCTACATGCCAATTGTTCCTGTTGGTCTTGAACTTGGTCTGGTGACCCACTTGGACTGTCTCTGAGCATGATCCTGATCTACTATTTCCTCTGGCAGATTCGTGCCAAAGGACACCGCCTTCACCTGCAGGCCATTTAGGCCCCAGAGAACCAAGGGTAGCACTGAATATTCTGGATTGACAGCAAAAGCTTGTATGTGATCTTCCAGGTCTGATGAATTACACAGCATTGTGCAGCAGGCCCCCTGGGACAAAGCTTGATGTGAGCCAAGACATCGCACTCTTCGGGGCTGTGGTCGAGGGCTCAGCCACATGGGTGCCTGGGCAGCCTCATGCAGAGGCCTCTCGTCGTTGGCCATGCGCTTCTCTGGCTGGACTCAGTACAATTCCTCTCCCCACTCTTGGAGAGCCAACACAACTTTTGTCTCTTCATCAAAAAAGGCTTCTTTTCAACTTCACTTGTCTTCCTAACTGGCAACTTTCACAACTGACTGACTGTTCAGGAGGCTGCATACAAGTTAAAGGGGGAATTTACATGAACCACTCAGGACAGTGGCTGATAGTGATGGCCTCTTTCCTATTTAGACTATGCTGTCAATAAATGCATAGATAGAATGCTTCAGATTAACAGAAGTTTAAATTATTGTCCTGAAATGCTAAAGTGCTAGATACAGTTAGCTAATGGTGTATTCAGTAATGACACAATCATGATATCTATTTACAAATGAAAAGTTGGGTGTACATTTCCAACAACTTGAGATGAATTGGAAAGATTTCTATTTCTCTTTTTTTTTTTTTTTTTTTTTTTTTCTATTTTCATGGAACCGGGGATTGAACTCAGGCCCTTACTCTTGCCAGGCAAGCGCTTATTCTACTGAGCCATCTCCCCGGCCCCAGATTCCTATTTTTCAAGACTCAGCATAATGATGGAATAGGTGGTTTCAATTTCTTATTTCCTTTAGGAAAACTTTTCTCTACATACAATATCCTGCCATTTTATTTATAAATTTCATACTCAAAAATTTGCCCCTGGTTATCAGACTGTTCTCTTTACAATTCTTTTCTGCACTGTATGATTGGAACACCATCCTCTGGCCTATCGTCTCCCACTGATAACAAGGAGAAAATAACCACTAAGTACCACATCAAGAATTTGCCCTTCAGATGCCACTTTGTAGGACACATGTTCTTATTTCTTTGGGCTTGGGGTGGTGTTGGAGGATCGCTGTGCTTTGTTTTGTTTGGGGGAACTGAAAGGACTTTACACTCTTTGGTTCTTTTGTAAAGCTATTTTTCAGGGAATTTGTTTGCCCTTCACTTCCAGAAGGCATCAAAATTTAACGAAGAAATACATGAGTTGAAAGAATTGCTGTGGAAAGGGCATCGGCTTCCTGTGTATGGCACGCTTGATGTGAGACGTGATAGAAACTCAAAAAGATAAAATGAATGATCTTCTAAGCAAGCAGGAATCA